TGCAGCTCTATTTATGTGAAGAAGGCGGTGGGGATTTCTACTGAGACTGTTCCATCTACAGATCGCATTGTTAGTATTGACATCGTAACTATATTACGGCTTCCAAACCAGGAACATGGGACATCTTTTCATTAAAAAAAAATCATTTTACTGGGAGCTTTTAAGCTCTTATCACAATTCATACATCCATTGTGTGAAGCACATTTGTACATATGATGCCATCATCGTTTCCAAACCATTTTCTTTCTACTTGAACTCTTGGTATCGGCTCATTTTTTTCCCTTCCTCCTACACCCTCCCACCTTCATGAACCCTTGATAAATTATTATTATTTTCATAATTTACACCAACTGCTGTCTCCCTTCCAATGTTTCTGTTGTTTGATCCCTGAATGTGTGTGTGTGTGGGGGGGTGTTTTACATCGTCATTGCGATCAGTTTCCCCTACCCTCATGGTATCACTACTCCCATTATTATTCCTGAGGGGTTTATCTGTCCTGGATTCCATGTGTTGAGAGCACTTGTCTGTACCAATGTACATTCTCTGGTCTAATAAGATTTGTAAGGTAAACCTGGGGTCATGATGGGGTGGGGAGGAACATTAAAGAACTAGAGTAATGTTGTATGTTTCGTTGGTGCTATACTGCACCCTGGATGGCTTGTTCCCTTCCTTGTGACCCTTTCATGAGGGAATATCCCATTGTCTACAGATGGGCTTTGGGTCTCCACTCCATTCCCCCTTGTTCACATTGATTGTTTGTGTCATCTGATGCCTGATCCTGTCAACACCTTGTGATCACACAGGCTGGTGTGCTCCTTCCATGTGGGCTTTGTTGCTTCTCAGCTAGATGGCTGCTTGTTTACCTTCAAGCCTTTAAGACCCCAGACGCTGTAACTTTTGGTAGCTGGGCACCATCCGCTTTCTTCACCACATTAGCTTATGCACCCATTTTGTCTTCAGCAAGCGGGTTGGGAAGGTGAGCATGAGGCTCAATGTCCATCTGCTACCTTAATCCTTAACACATAAATATATGTACATAGACCTATGTCCCCATCGTTATATATATATTTACATATATACATACCTGTATTTAGACCTGTATAAATGTCCTTTGCCGCCTAATTCCTTATTTCCTTTGACTTTCCTCTTGTCCCACTATCATGTTTGACCTTCATTTGGCTCTCAGTAATTCCTCTCAGTTACAATGCACTTGATTAAACCCCACCAGGCATTCTATGCCCTCCTTGCTGTTGATTTTAGATCACTTGTTGCTCCCTTGTCCCTGGGTTTGTTGGCTCCCAACACCCCATGCCCACCCCCCACCCGTCCTTTTCCCCACTTCACCCTCTCCCATGACCCCCCGGAACCAGTGGTCCAATTGCTTACTCCTCGGTATTACTTATCCCGCCTATCTTGTATAGATATATATATTTAAAAGCCTATAAAGTTTCAGGACTTTCTGTTGACCTTTATGAACGTTGTCTGATTGAGTCTAATGAGGTGCCTAGGCCTGCCACCAAAGTGCACTTTTGGATTCCTCGGCGGGCCCTTCATTGCTTTGCTCCCCTATCTTCCCACCTGTTTAAGTCCCCTTTGATCTCTCGCAGCAGTGTTTCATAGCTCCCATTGTGTAAGTCCTTCACATGGTTAGATTTACTCCTAGGTATTTTATTCTCGTAGATGCTATTGTAAATAGCATTGTTTCCTCAATTTCCCTTTTAGATTTCTCACTGGTATAAAGAAGTCAAATTGATTTTTGTTTGTTGACTTCTACAACTTTGCTAAATTCCTCTGTTAGCACTGCAACTTTTCTTGTGGACTCTTTAGGATTGTGTATATATGGGAATCATATCATCTGCAAGTTGACATAATTTTATGTATTTTCCAATCTGGATAGCTTTTCTTTCTTTTTTTTTTTTTTTAAGCATTTTATTAGGGGCTCACACAACTCTTATCACAATCCATACATACATCAATTGTGTAAA